CTTTTCTTTTTCATGTCAGAAATACCACACAGTGTGAGAAGAAAAATGAGTTTTAAAAAAAAATAAAACTTAAAAAAAAAAGACTTTTTTAAAAGAGTTGAGGGTTTTTTTTTAAGTGTTTAGCCAATGTCATCAAGAAAACTGGGCAGTTTATAGTTCTGTTAGCAGATCTCGCTACTTATAAGGACTCATTACAGATATGACTTGAACAATTTAAAGTTGAAGGACTGGTTACCAGCAGCTTCAGAAATAATGGACCAAGTCACTTGTGTCTAACACTCTGTGTGCACCAGTGTTGCTGAAGGACTTTCCTACTGGTTTTCTTTTGGCATTGTATATAGTCTGGTATTAGAGTTCTTCATTTTTCTACACTCAGCAATCATATTGCAGCAATATTTGAGGATTCCTCCCTTTTTCTGTCCAGCCATAATGAAAGATAATTGATTATAACTGTAAAATATGTTCACAAGTTCCATTTGAAAAAAAAAAAAAGGGGGCAAGTAGTTTAGCATATCACAGCAAAGCTATCTTGTTCATTCGGCAGGTTTTGTTACACTGTGATGAGATGGTTATCTTTTGCTTCTGTGCCAGAGAAAATAAAGCAAGTAATCAGTTGCTTGCTTTCCTGGAGCAAAAGTAAATTGGGCTAGAGGTGTAGATGACATGAGTGGACTTGTTCCTCAAGTCCATTCAAATACATTAGAAGATAAGGTCTCTGAGCAAAATATAATGTTGTATTTTATCCTTCTGTGTTAGTAATCTCTTGAAAGTATGAGATGCAGACTGGCATATTAGGCTTTCTGAAAAACATATACAGAAAACTTGCAGATTATATGAAAGAGATACAAATTGGAACATAATTTTCATCCTGCACTGTGATAATAAAGTTGTACAGCTAGAGCTCTGTACCCATTCTTTGGACCGTGAGTCTGAAAAAAGATGTGGTTTGTTTTCTGATGTGCCTTTGGCTATATATGCCAAAGAGACTTTTCAAAAACGTAGATAACTTTAATTTTACCATCAAATTTAATTAAAAAAAAAAGTGATTACAGACATACATGATATCTAACCCCCAAGAGCTACAGATTCCTGTGTGGCTGTTTCTGGCTGCAATTGCACTGTGTGAAATTTAGTGCTGACTTAAAAGCAGAGGAGCAATACAGGGCCACAGAATTGCCTGGACTAGTGTTAGAGGAGGAAAAAAACGTTGGCCATGTTTCCGAACACACTTAAAATTAATGAGTTAAGATGCAGTAGGATGTTTACAGGGGCTGTTACAGTCAACTGAAAATCTGAAAGGGAAGAGGATTTGAGCTGTTAAGCAACACATTCTGAGCCCAAAGATACATTTCATGTGCTAGTGTATATACCTTATCCCTTCCCTTAATGCATAAGCAACAATAAGGAAGAAAATGTCCTTTGATACTGAATACATATCTGTAATAGCCTTTTTTTTTGTTCTGAATATTTTTAATACAATTTCTATTTACTGATTAGAGCTTCACAGTGCAATACAACCAATTATTTCCTCTTAAGTGGAACTTTTCAGTTCAGTTTAACTTTCAGCTATTAAATAATACTAAGTGTTTTTTTGGTTTTATTTTTTTTCCCCAGGTTCTGAGTTCCAAGCTGATGCCAACTGCAGATGATGAGATGGCAAGGAACTGTGCCAAATCTTTCTGCGAAAACTTCCTCAGAGCAGGAGGTCTGAGGTTAGATTTCAAAATCTTGATGTCATTTATAATACCTTATTTAGTTAACAGTTCTGTGTGGTTTCTGCTTTTCTTTGCTCTGCTGTGTGTGACTTAGCACACTTGTGTAGCAATTAACGTTTTTTGGAGTGAGAAACCACCCAAATCAGACCTTTCATTACTGAATGCTTGAAAAGCTACTGTAACTATCATAGTAGTATAACAAAGTATATGTTACATACCCAAAATAAAGCTAGGTATGTATAAGCTTGTGAAGTATAAGCTTTTTTGATCCTTGGATAGTTAGCATTAAACTGCTTCAGTTCAAATCGGAAGTGTGCATATTATCCACACTACCTCCTGCATAGATACCACGGGGCATTTTTAGTAGTTATAGCCTAGGTCATGTGTTGGAAACCAATTAAACTTTAGTCTGTCTCCAAAATCCAGATTGAAGTGAGAGTTAAGCTGCAGTGTATGTAGTTTGGAAGATCTTGCAGTATTATTAGAGGTTGTGCCACCTTTACTGAGTGTATTTTGCTCTTAGTTCCCACCTTCCCCACCCCTTCTTCCCTGGATCATGAAGCATTTTCCCAATGTGAGCAGAAATCTCCAGCTTGCAAGTGTAAGAGGGGGAAATAAGAATGTTAGCCTGAATGTTAGTCTCCAAAGATGCCATTTTCCCAATTTTAACTGGCACTCAGCTGACTGAATAGGAATATAGGGGAGGATGGGGGTAAACTGCAGCTACCTTCTAATGTGAAACACTTGCAAACAGAGCCTATCTATTAATCTGTTCTTAAGTTTGGTGGTGAATGTGATGCAGAGAGATTCCATCCCATCAGAAGTAGACTATGAAACAAGACAGGGAGTCTACTCCATCTGCCTGCAACTTGCAAGGTATGTAATTGCCTTTTATCAGATAGTTCATTCTTGCTTTTTGAAGTGTGACTTGTAAAATATGAGAATGAATCGTGCTTTGTTTTCCATTTCATTTCCTGTCTGTGAACATTCCAAAATGAGCCTGACATTTTTGCTCTGTGAATGTAGGTTCTTGCTTGTTGGCCAGACCATGCCTACCTCACTGGATGAGGATTTCATTAAAGATGGGGTGGAAGCATTGTCCTCGCGTCCCTTCCGTAACGTCAGCCGACAAGCAAGTAGACAGATGTCCATCTGTGGAACACCGGAGAAATCGTCCTACCGACAGCTCTCTGTGTCTGATAGATCCTCCATTAGGGTGGAAGAAATCATACCAGCAGCTAGAGTTGCCATACAAGTAAGGAAATATTTGATAAATTATGATAATGTAGCAGTGTGATCTCCAGTGGCAACTGTGCGACTCCTGGATTTTTTTTTTTAACTCAAGAATCCTCCTTTATTACTGATTCTTGCCCAGGCTCCATTTAAAACCTCTTAAAATCTAAACTGTCTGCATCTGCTTATCTGGATTTTTAGCATTAAACTTAGGCTAAGAAATTATTTGGTTAGTAAACTGATTATGACACATCACTAGGGGAGAGAGTACCCCAAAGATGCACCCTAGAAATGTAGAGCTGCCTAGAAATCTTCCTCTTAGAGTTTTAATCTCAGTCACACTCTTAACCTGAGCAAGATCTTAGAGTTAATTTTCTGGGAATAGAAAGAGAAGGTTCCTGCTCTAAATCATGGCTTGTTGGCCATGTTTCTTTGAATTAGAAGTTTGAGAGACGTTTCATGTATCAGATAGCTCATTTGAATATTAAACTTGTGCAAGGGTACCTGGAGGGGAAAGAGGGAACCAACTTTTATTCTCAATAGTTTAAGAACTCCTCATTTTTCTCTCTATCACTCTTTGTCACTGAAATGAATTTTCAAGTGGCTGTTTCCTAAAGCAGTCTAATCTTAAAAGACAAGCTCAACCAATTTGAAAGTTGAGTCCAGATGAAAGAAACTTCATAGATGATGTAATGAATATATTATCTCAGTTTTTTAGTGAGTGCTTTCCTGACAGATAAATGTGATCAAATTTTGCATACCTAGCCTCTAGGTAGAGGAAAAAGATATCTAGAGTGGGGACTTTAAAAACAAATGACTTCCTGTTTAGGGGGACAATCCTAATCTCTCCTTCCCAAGAAGAAAAAGATTCTTGCATCCTTAGGTGGTCTTAGAGAAGGCAGAAGAGAACAAAAGCAAGTGGAAATTTCATGCATTATTGAAGATGTATTCCTCTGCTTAGCAAAGGTGGTTGAATGTGGCAGAAATAACTGCTGTTTCCTGTTCCTCCAGACTATGGAGGTGAATGATTTCACTTCCACAGTGGCTTGCTTCATGCGTCTCTCCTGGGCTGCTGCTGCAGGACGGCTGGACCTCGTCGGGAGTAGTCAGCCAATAAAAGAGAGCAACACCCTATTTCCTGCTGGGATTCGGAATAGACTTAGCAGCTCAGGTAGTAAACTCTGTCCTTATTTTAAAAATATATTTAGTTGATTTTTAGTCTAGCTTAAATTTGAGAAAATGCTGTTTATTCATATCACATCTTGAGAGGTTTAAGCAGTTTTTTGGTTGGTTGTTTTGGGCTGTTTTTCTGCTTTAAGTACAGTGTTGAGGAGAAGCTGAAAACGACTGAAAACTGTAATGGATCATATCCTTTCTTGATGCAGGAAGTAATTGCAGTTCAGGAAGTGAAGGAGAACCAACAGCACTGCATGCTGGCATCTGTGTGAGACAGCAGTCCGTATCCACCAAAGATGCTCTGATTGCTGGAGAAGCCCTGTCTCTGCTAGTCACATGCCTTCAGCTGCGCAGTCAGCAACTAGGTATGAAATGGGATTGGGGTAGTCACTGTTTGAAATATAAGGAGAAAGAAGGCTTTTGAAGACAGACACATATTTAAAAAATGCAAGAAACTTACAACTCTAAATTAATTGAGTGGTCTCAATTCACAAACACAATTAAAAAAAAAGTTTTCCTGTGTTATTTTAATGTAAATCCATAGCTGACTTTTTGAATAATTACTTAAAAGTAGCCTGATTTTTTTGTTGTTGTTCTAGGATCTTTCTACAATTTGCCTTGTGTTGCTGATTTCATCATTGACATCCTGCTTGGATCACCAAGTGCTGAGGTGAGGATCTTTCCCTGGCAATGTGTACACTTTGTTCAGTTAATATGGTCTCAAGATAAAATTGGGCATTGCAAATATTCCAGCTGTCTTAGTAGCTGTATAAATAACATCTGTTTTAGCAACACAGTGTTAGCAACTCAGTATTTAGTACCATGTTGATAGCAAATGCTAAAGCATTACATTCTTTGAACTTGTTTTATCCATAAAGTACAGGACTGTGCTTGGACTAGTTTAAAGAAAATACTCGCTTTTTTTTTTTTTTTTTTTTTTTTTTTTTTTCGGGGGGGGGGAGGGAGAAAAAGCCCAAAAACTC